CCCCCAAACCTTTTCCTACCGCAGATGTGCAGCCGCGTTTGATCGTTTTGCAGCCACGTTTGAACGTTTGAGTGCACTTGTGAACAATGTTGAACAATACTTTTCAGCGGACTTTGCCTCCTTGCCGTTCCCTCGCCTTCCTTCCCATCGGAGTAATTGAGTTAACTGAAAACCAGTGTCAGAGTGTGGTAGCAGTGATCGTGAAGCTTTTCATATAGATGAAGGCGAAGGTTCATCATATTATTCTACTTTCGGTGAACCGAACCCTTGTAAAGATTGCAAGCAAAGCTGGCTGTCAGTGTTGTTTTTTGTTGTCAATTCAGTGGTGGCTTCAAACTCACAAGTTCACAGACGGAGCAGTAAGAGCAAAGACTTATAGGTACGGGGTCTCCATTTCTCATAAGACATCATCAGGCTCACATTGCAGAGGGATTCGAAGAGTATGATTCAGAGAGGTTATCGTGGGAACATTGTCCAAATCGCAATGTCCCCGGTTTTACCATGTTTTACCCCTGCCACAGGCCCAACACGCGCAAGCTACGCCGGCTGCACCAGCTGCGCCAGCCCCTGAACCGTCGCCAACCCAGGCGACCGCAGTGGGGGCTGGCGTGTTCTGAGGTTCCCGACTAGTCCCTAGGGCTCCTGGCCCATACCCTCAGGTTCGGTGGTATTCGGCGCCACTCACAATCACCATCTTCTCATGAGGTGGGACAGGAAAACCCTACGGAGTGGTCATCCCTGCTCCCGGAAAGGGTCATTTGTTGTGCCTTTTCAATCCAGAAAACATCGGAACTTCCGGTCGTGCTTCAATGATCTCTGGGAGACCCGGCTTTGCCGGACTCCTTTGTCGCAAGGTTCACCAAGTTGGTGAACAAATATGTCCTCAAGGAACCACTTCGAATCGTTGGTGCCAAACGTTTTGGCGGCTGAGACTCATGATTTTGGCTGAGCAATCCGTCTTTGTCGCACAGGTGAACAACCGAGGGTTTTGGAAGAGGCATCCTTGGAGAGGTGCACTCCACGTTCGTCTAGTACATCCCGCCCCACGTTCGCTTCCAATGGGGGATCCTGGCTGGTCCTGGTCGAAAACCAAAGACGCCTCTACTGAAAGAAGAACATGTCTTGCTTGGAAACCAGCATGTGACCGACTATATATTTGTAAAATATCTTCAATGTGCACTGGTTTGTTTCAGAGCATCCCTTTTTTCAGACGTGCTTCATCCTTTGAACAAGAACCATCAACATGATTAATCAAATGTGTGTGTCCGACTGTACATCATCTACAATTTCCAGCTTTAGCTACCAGACATCCTGCCATGTGGTCTCGCTCCGAGCTCCGTCAGGCTCCTGAGGTAAAGGACACTTGGCCTGAGGAGCGGGCAGATTGTGATTCCGTGGGGCAGTCGACAGGGAAGGCACATGTGTGACATGTGTGCACTCAAAGAGAGTGAGGCGGGTGAGGCTCTAATGAATAAACTGATTCAACTGATCGTGAACGGCTGTAGGGGCTGGGTAGGGTGAGGCCACGATTGGTTGTTTAAACGCGTTTGCTGCATTTGGGGGCTGATTTTCCTGGTGTTTCAGATGGACAACGAAGCATCACAAGTGATGAACACATCCTGCAAGGTTGCCCAGGAACGGCTAGTTGCTGTCATTGCCATCGTTGTTGACAACGAGTTGTTTCTTTGGCGTCCAAGTGGCCCAAGTGGCCCACTCAGCCGCTGGTCTCAACCCCATCATGCCTGTGCTGAGGAAAAAAAGGACAACAGGCCTACAGAAATTGGTTTATTGAGGCGTTGGAATCTGTTGGTTGGACACCGGAAGGGGCCAGGTCATTGCATTTCATGCCAATGTTTGGATCTTTTCTTCTATCCAACTTCATTCATGGCCTTCCAAGACCAAAATAGTGACACCCCACTCGAGAGATCGAATCGGTGCAAAGGTCGCTTCGCCGCCTCGCCTTCGCCCCACCATCTCCGGCCGGTTCCATTCCGAAATGACCCAACCACACACCGGTTCCTTCCTTCTTGGGTACACTCTGACCGATGGCAGGATGGCAGGCCCAGGCCGAAATCATTCGGCCTGACCGCTCATGTGATGTGTGGAGCGTTTCATGTGATGCGTGGAGCGCGAGGACCTCTCAACCTGGATGAACTTGGTCGCCTTCAAGGAGACTTGGGGAAAACCCCCGCACTCGCGGCGCGACGGGTTCGAGCTGGGTTGGCACGCTACTCCGCCAGTGTTCCGCTCCCAGGCCCAATTGGTGTGAAGGTCCATGTGGTCTTCAGTTGCTGACTGATCCGCTGCCACCCTGGTGCGGTGCTGCCAGGAGGGTCCAAGTCCGCTTCGGTCATGTGGATTCCTATAGGCTTTGAGGTTCGATCCCAACCCAATCCAAACCCTTAAGGGTCTTGGCTTCAGGGCCTCCTCCAAACCCTGGGAACAGGCGCCGACTCGCCGTTCGGATCCTTAGGGTTCGACGATGATTTACCAGCCGACTCGCCGACTCAAGTGAGTTGAAGGCCACCAACTAACCAGTTCATCAGTCAAGGGTCCTAAAGCCTTCCTTTGTTTGGTGAGTAATTAGTGTATTGATCCTGAATGCGCATGTTTCGGACCGACGGGGACGAGTTCCGTCATTGGATATATCTGACCCGTCCCTGCCGTGTTCGCCTTTTTTGGCCAATAGATGGAGTGTTTCTCTGTGTGGGAACGTTACATCCAGGTCACCAGGTCCCTCAAACAACAGGAACGGGTGAGGGTTGTAGGGCCTGCAACCCCTCCAAGTCCAGCTCTTACTCAGAAGCGACCAGGTGATTTGCACAGGCTTTTCTAGCTGGCCCGGTGAATTGAGAAACGTCTCACGAAACACTTCTCCCCTACGCATTCAGTGCACAACCTTTAACCTTTTGTCGGGCATTGCGTTCTCCACTAAACACGAATCTGGTGAATTCAGTGCGGTTACCCGGTTCACCTTTTACTGTAACTTTCCACCAAATGTGCCGGCGCGGAAGTCAGCCTCCATGTCCTCCAAAAATTCTGAAAGATGAAATCCGAATTCTGAAGGCCTCCAACCTCAACTCCTCGACCTTTCCGCCGCTGCAAGCCCTTCGCTCCACCCGCTCCGCCGCCGCCGGTCGGGTCGGCCATGGCGTTCCCCGCGCGGCACCGCGCGGCGTGCACCTGGCTGCTGCTGGCGATGGCGGCGGCCGAGCCAAAGCCGGTGCGGGGCGCTGGGGCTGCGGGTGAGAGGGGGCGAAGAGGAGCAGATGGTCATGGGGGAGTGGTAAGTGGTAGCGAATGCATACTGACAGGAAGAGGAAGCACTGCAATGGACTAGCTATACATACCAGCACCTTCCAAGGGGTCACCAATGAAAGCCTCTACACTACTTCTGGATCTCCATTTTGGGCACCCCTTGGAAGGTCCAGGTATACTATGCTATAGTTGTTTTGTGACTTGTCTAGTTTTGAGAGTCGTTAAGGTCAATGACAAAAGATCTTGAGAGATCTGCACTTGAGAGAGCCTATGCTTCATCAGAGTCTCATTGAGTCTCTCTCTCCTCATCACGTCGTCACGCGCGAGCCGCGGGAGCCGGACAGCTGCTGCCCCGGTTGGAGGTCTATCCTCGGCAGATGAGCTACAAGTGCACCATGAAGGTGAAGCCAGGGATCAAGGCAGATGTGCCGACCGGTGGTCGGGGGTGCTGGTGTGGAGCGGGAGCAGTTGGAGCCTGCGTGTTTTTGGGGCAGGGCTGGGGTGGGGCTGGGGTGGAGTTGTCGTGGAGACGCTTGGGGATCCAAGTATAGATTGTTCGGGTAGAACTAAAGATGTGCACTAATTTGGAAGGCCGGGTCCAGTAATTTGAGCAGACATCACAGCACGAGAAGTTAAAACCACCAGGGTGTTCTTCCATGGCCGTGCCCAGGTGCTCAGCAGTTGCACCACATCATCTATAGTACAGACCCCAAGATGTCCTTTAGATGATTTTAGATGGGGTCAAACCACCTCTTGGGGTCTGTGCCATCTACTCTCAATCCACTATATACTAACCCACAGCCGTTTGAGCCGTTTGAGCCGCCGTTTCAGCGGTGGCGTTTATCGACCGGACGACTACTTCCCGAGTGGGACGGCTCTGAATTGACGTACTATTTTAGAAGTGTTTCAGCCCCGCCAACAGCTCGATTTTGCAACGATTATGTTGGCTTGGTCCCTACTGACCAGCATAATAGATCGTCACAGGTGTTGGGTGATTCTTCTCCTATTCTTGAGCACTTGCTGGGTCACACTCTTCCTTCGTTCAGAGCCTGGCGTTTGGCGTGCGAAAACTCGCTAGGACATCTTCGCTGGCAACAACTTCACGGGCACTCATTATTTGAACGCGGACTTGAAGCTCATGCGCCACTCATCTAAGCACCGTTCGAATGACGGGAGCTGTGGATAGACTGCAAATCACCAGTAGCGTGAAGACGAGGTTGAGAATCCCAACGTTTCGTGATGTTTTCATGTTTCATGCAAAAGACTTGACATGTTTCCGGTGTTTCTGGGATTGATACACCCTCAATGACCGTCATAGAACCCAGCTCTTCCCCTGTTTGACTAAATCACAGACGTGTCACAAAGGTCCCCTCCTTGAAAGGTTCAACTCTGGGAACTTTGATGGGGGACGAAACGAGGTTTTCATATTGTTTTTTCATATCCCAGACACTCCATGGGACTGCCATATATGCTTACATTGACACTCAAAACCACCCCAATGTAAGCATATATGGCAGTCCCATGGAGTGTCTGGGTATTGTTTTTTCGGCCGACTTTGAGTTGGTGAGTTTAAACAAATCACATCAGATGAAGACATGATCGACTGATGAAGGTCTGCGCCAAGAAGCCTATCATGACGTGGTGCTCATTGATGATGATTGGTGTTATAGTACCGCAAGAAACATGGGTCATAGGTTCCCGCATCACTTTCTACCTGCATGCACGGAGGTCCGTTTCAAAGTCGAGTAGGAGTCGAACCGAGGCACCGAGTGGAAAATGACCTGCCCGCATGGCAGCTGTGGTCAGTTCGGGCCAAGTCCCACCTCCGTGGGCATCAATGCGCATGGAGAAGAGCAGGTCAGGTCAAGTCAGTCGTTCGGCTTGGCGAGAACGGCTCACCTTGGCAAACGACTCATCCGCTGAAAAGCTGGGACCTCCATGATTCCATTGCACTATAGTAGAAGGGGTTCATGATGGGGTTCATAGTGGGGTTCATGTAGTCGACATGCATGCATGATGCCTGGTGTTGGCTTCCAGCCGCTATCCAGGTGAGGGACCCTATGTTGCTACACTTCCACACGTTCACTTCCAGGTCCCATCACCACGTAGGATAGGCGAACTCACCCGTTACGCCCAACCCGGACACTTGCTCGCGGCTGGCATCCGTTGGAGGCAATGTACCAAACCTTCGCCAATGAACGGCTCCCTCCTGGGCCGGGTGGGGCATTGGCAGTGCAATGCCAGAAGTGGCTTGGTGATTTTTTCGTGCGCCATCCAAGTGGCTTGGTGGCCATCTTCATGAGACCCTTTGATGGCCACTATGGACCACCCAGCTATCCCAACTCACCGACCTCGATGTTTGATCACCTCACCGCACCTCGAAATATCCCACGTGGAAAGAGAAAAAAGGGGTTCCATACTAACCCAGACACTCCATGTATGCCATATATGCTTACATTGACACCCAAAACCACCCCAATGTAAGCATATATGGCATACATGGAGTGTCTGGGTAAGTACCTGGAGTCGACCCGGTTCCACGTACGAAGCTGGGGCAACGAGTCGTACCTGTTGTTTTGGTTCGGGTCATGTCCGGACTAAGGGAGCTGCCCAAGGGAAGACCATCCCGGTCCCCACGTAAATAGAATGATGGACCTGGATTTTGTAATGTAAAATCTGGAGTAAGAAAATTATGCCTGGCCTGTTCGGGATTCGATCCATTAAAATCAATGGTGGTTGGTTGAAATCCTAGGGAACAAGGGGCTTTTCCAAAAGCAGGACTACTTCCTTTCACGTGCCTGTTCCAAGCAATTTGGATGGAAGTGCATATCGCCTTTGCCTGTTCCCCCAATAGCTCCCTTGTCCCTTCAGATTTAAAGTAGAAATCAATCCACCCTAAGAATCCTCGGGCGCGACACCGACCCCTTGCGGAGAAGGGCCCGTCCGCCCGACCAAGGGCAAAGAGGGTCGGCGTGTCAACAGATGATTGACCTATGTTGACCAGACCTGACATCATGGTGGGATTATCCCAGTCACTGCCAGAGTCATGAGATGGTTAATTTACGGTGTTCGGTGAAGATTGCCATTGACCATCAAAATTGCCCCTCAACCCATGGTGTGTGATTGGATAAAGCCTCCAATGCATATGAATTGACTCTTGTACGTTTTTCGCTCACAACTTTCTGAGATGCCTCCCCTGAACACATGTTTTGTTGAACAAACTGAGAAGCCCTCCAGAATTTTGTACATTCCACCTCGAGGCTTCCACTGCATTCCCCAGTCTTCAACGAGACCTGGGCGGACGATGCCGTCTACCGGGGTGTGCACTACCTGGATGGCAGGCGAGGCGCTTAGTTGAACACGCTTTCGCTTAAGGGGGGGTGTTTCTCTTGTGGATGAACCCCTCTCTGGCGAATATTGCTTTAGCGCGGTTCCTGGACGGCAAATCCAAATGCATGAGTTGGCGGCAACAGAGCACTGTTTGTGTGTGTGTTGCGCCTGTATTTGTGTTTGTTGAAATCAGGTGCAGGAAAGCCTAAAGTTTCACCTGCTCTCAACTGTCAACCCCTTATCCAACCTTATCCCCTTTCGGGGTAAAGTGTGTACTAATCGTAAATCGTATATCATTTGTAGCAAGTTGAGTTCCCAGATTCAGGGTCTAAAGAGACCTAGCAGAGCATAGCACTTGTCAGCATTGCTGGACTGCCTCTAAGCCCGACCAAGCAGGGACTAACTAGACGAGTTTGTTCACTCTTTTGCTTCATCAATTCAGAAGGGCACTCTCTTCAACAGTGATATGTGTGTGTGTGTGGAACTGCTCTTCCATTTCTCTTTTGAGATACACCTCACTGAAGACTTGTGAATCACCTGAGTGTCTTTTTGATGGTGAAGCATTCCCTATTTGGGCACTATTATTGGTTGCTTTTCAATACCTATCACAATGGCCTTGCTAGATCTGCCTGGTCAAACGCAGAAATCACCTTCGGTAGGCTGGCACTTGCGAGCTGGGTTTGGTCTGACTCAAGACTGCTCATTCTCCAAGCAATCACATGGGTAAACAAGAAAGGGTCAAATTCTTTTGTTGTATTTGTGTACCCCCAACAGAAATGACTAGTGCATGCAATCGATAGATATATTACATATATATATATATATCGATCATATCGTTTAATTCACAGTATATAACAATATGTAGATCTACTGTACATATATCTACAAGTTCAGCTTGTACAATCTTCTTTTGTTTGCATCCCAACATCTTTCGTAGGACGGTCACCCGGTTCACCACATCTGTTTTCCCTTCGCGCTTCACTCGCTCGACCCACGGCTGTACGGCCGTCAGAGGCTTTGCCACCGTTGGTCCAACACGGTTCCTTGGGCGATCCAACGTGTGCAACGGACCGGGGGGGAGACGTCAGGTGGAACTGGGGGGAGGATGGGGAGAGACCCCCATGACAAGCAGCTCCAAAAGTTGGAAAAGCTTCGGAGTGCGTGGTGAGTGTTTTGGAGCGATTTCCGTGGAACTGGAACCGGTGGAAGGGTCTGTTCGTGAACGTGTTGGTCGCATGGTTTTTTTCTTCGGATCGAAAGGGCTCAGGAGTCAGAGGTTTGGGACCTCTTCGTCTCCTGCAAAGGCCAGTCAATTGGATATCAGTGGCACACCTACAGCTTGAGTGGACAGAGTTCCCGATACCTTTTGGGAACAAAGTCTCATCGTTGGGTTCAAGTGGCTACGCAAACCATCCCAACAGACATCACTACCGGAGTCACTGGAGTTTGCTTGGAGGATCTCTGACTACTATTCCGACTTCTATACCAACTTGCCAGTGGCATCCATCAGCTGCTTGGTGGCATCCATCAGCTGCCAGTGGCATCCATCAGCTGCTTTGCCCATGCCAACGCTGCGGACAGCAGTTGCGGACAACACAAACGTGGATTCCACGTGTTTTGTGTGTGTGTGTGTGGCATAGCAAACGCTACCTCGTTTCTGATATTCCACGGGATTAGACAGGCTGCGGGTGGTGAGTACATGACTGAGCAACTTGTTCTGTTTTTTTTTGAAAGCTGAAATGAAGATCCACCTCTCATCACCAGATGAGAAAGATGTAGAGAGGAACCAACGTTGTTGGATACCCCCACAACCGAAGAGAATATCTGGGCACAGATTTTTGGGGCAAAACTTATAGACCCCTGGAGAAAAAAACATCATACAAAATGACTCAAAATGAGACCCTCAATTCCTCTGTGTACGCACATGTTTTTCTATGGCGTTGGAAGGTGATATCAATGGTTGAGAGTACTTGTAGATGGCACAATCAGTTTGAATGCACCACCATCTAATATAAAATACATGTTGTGCCATTTACCCTCAAACCAATGTAGGTGTACACTTTATGAATACCCATGTTCTTTTGAGTTGAGTTGTATTGAATTATTGATCTCAGGTGTTTGTAATTCGTTCAGATAGCTGTAGCTGCTATCCGGTTCGTTGCTGAGATGCTCGTTGGAAGTCAGGAGGGTTCAATTGACTTTCTCAGCATAGCGGTAAATCCTTGGCCATCAAGCCAAGTCAGGCACCCCATCTGACTTATCAACCAAAGTGAAGAATGATGATGATGATGATGATGATGATCATCATCATCATCATCATCATCATCATCATCCCAGGACCCCTCCAAAACTTCAAAAACCTGGCTGGAGTACCCTACACATACACCGCTTCCCTTCGGTTCCAACAGAATGGTCCGAAGATGGTACGGCCAAGGTGAAGATGATGCCATTGACCTTCGTTATGAGACCTTGACCATCTTGAACCTGCAGCCTCAACCAGAGGCCGAACTAACATGTCACACACTTGGACGGGCTGCACGGACTCCGGAATGACCTCGTCCGGCCTGCTTCGCCTGCTTGGTGGGATCGCTCATGACTTCTCATGATCAGTAGTCAGTGGTCCAGTGACTGGCTGAGACAAACGTTTTACATCGTTTTACTATGTCTTTTTTCACGGATCACAAACGAAGTCAATTATCTTTCGCTGGCGGTGTGTCATTTGTGTTTAGCCAACTGCTTGGATGGACGATTTGCATGGACTTCAAAGCTCATTGTGATCAAAACAGAGAACCTATGAATCAATGCTGTGACTTGAGCCAGCCAGACCAGCCAAAGGACGGAAAGCACCAGAGGTGATTATAATTGTCCGATAGGTGAATCATGGTGAATCCCCAGAACCGGGGGAATCGCGTTCGAGCCAATGTCCCGCGTTCGAGCCCAAGCAACCACCGTCGGGAGGGTTCCACCCGGGTTCGAGTCGCATGAGGCTTTGGCCGCGGTCACGTCACACGGTCATACGGCTTGGCCGTCACCCACAGCGCAGCACGTCCAGGCCTTGTTCAATGTGTCGGGTCTCCACTGTGCAGAGCCGGGGCCCGGCTCCGACGCGCACCCTGGCGCGCGTAGCTCGGCTGGAATGGGCATCGGGTTCAGAGCCAGGCTACCGTTGTGCTCGACTGCTGGCAGTGTATGGTACCCAGAACTTCCATTTTAACTCATTTTAACCCACTTGGTATAATCATGATCCACCACTTGTAAAAGGCTAAAATGAGTCACTGGGACTCCCAGGGGTGGTTGCATTGCCTGATAGATGGGAAAGCCGAGACTCTCGCCCCCTCATCCAACAACCCCCGCAGTTTGCTGCGCTGTGCGGTGGAAACGACCAGCCGAGTGGCCCGCCGCGACGGTCCAAACGACCGTCGCGACGGCCGTCGTATTCCGGCACTTCGACTCGGGTCTCCTCGGACAGTCCCCGGAGCTCGTCCCACGGAGTTGGGGTCCGGATGTGACGGGGGGGCACCCACGACAGACGAACGGAGCTAGTCACCCGGCAGAACCCGAGCGAGCGAGCTCGGTGACTCCGAGACACTCCTTTTTGGGAACGAGTGGCTACACCGGGGAGCCCGATAGGCTGGCCCATGGGGTGGTGTTGTTCATGAGGTCATGAGTCGCTCATGGGGAGCGGATCATGAATTCACAAAAGTCCCTGTCGAAGAGGCAAGCACAGAATCAAACAGTTTGAATTGAACAGAGAGTGAAGTCCAAAGAATCAGGGAGGGGTCTTGATTCAACAGGGACCCCCATGAATCAGGGTTCTCTACAAAAAGAGAGTGACCACTAACCACCTGGATTTATCATGATTCCCCAAACCACGGACCATAGTCCATACTGACCATCACGGCCGGCCGCCCACCGGACCGCGACGGTCCGGACGGCGCTGGTTGGGGCTGGCACAGCTGAACGGTGCACGGCCGGCCGAGTCCAGCCGAGCACCGATCGAAGCTGCCCAGGTGAGATGCTGATCTGAGAGCTCACTGTGTTGCCACGAGCGGTGCCGAGGATGAACGTGAAGCGGACCCGATCCTTGCGAAGGACGAGGCGTTCCGACGTGGGGGACTGGACAGATGGTGGGAACTGGAGGGAATGACATGGTGGAAGAAAGATGTATATAATTACATTTCGTGAACATGAATCATCCCAAGTTAGGAGTAGTTTGAGGCCCAATAGATTAGATGCATTTGAGACTACTATAGTCGGAGATCGTCGGAGAAGGTATAGGTGGAGTTTGTTCAGAGTGTTTGTGTTCATGTTGGTTCTCTTTTGTGGTGCCTATCTCATTTTGCGGCGATCGCCTAACAAAGCTTGTGCAGAGAATAGCTTAGTCACTGAATAGCACTGAGCTCTTGACAACTGCTTCAAAAGACTCAAAGCAACAGAGGCTGAAGAACCTTACAATAGACTATCCCATAGGTACCCCAGAATGGGTCCTAGTTCAGCTCACTTAACCTCTCTTGGAAGCCCTGGTGAATGGTCCCAGGCATCCTGACAAGCCGGACAACTGGCAAGTCGATTTGTTCTAGTATTGGTTAACAGGATGTGACATGGTGGGCATAGTTCCAGTGGTTGCCCATACCAGGATTCAGAAGATATGTTTTGTTTCTAGCTAATATCCTGAAGTAGATAAAATAACCGGAAGTCAATAAGACAGTACAGTATAACAGGCATGTTTTCGGATATGGGTCATAGTCTATAGGTACTCCAGGATGCTTGTACTATCCTTGCATGCACTTGTCACCATTCGCAACCCTCCTTTTCTTCTAGCAGGATGTTCGACAGAATAGGGTGAAACCCCTTAGTAGTCTGATCCAATGATAGGGCAGATACGACTCGGTCCCTGAAAGGTAGCCTGGCAAGGCAAGGCTACCTTGAGTTTGCTTTGTATACCATCCGGCGGACTAACGTGAAGCGGAACATGGACCTTTGCATGATGTTCAATCAGGGTGGTTTACACTTGCATCTGATATGTTTGTATTCCCGTCTCCAAGAGTGGAGGATGATCACTTCCTCTTTCGTCACCTCTCCACCTGATCTTCAGAACCTGTCAGGTGCCTGCCGAGGCGCCCTCTTCCGCCGACAGCGGGTCGGCAGCGCGTTGTACACGCCAAACGCAGTGATTGGCTGCGGAAGGAAAAGGGGATCCGCGCGGTTGGGGGTCAGGGTCAGGGTGCTCAGTGATCCTGCTGCGGATTGGATGTTTGTTAATAGGCTTCAAACATCGGATGGGGGTGTGAAACTCAATCATGAAACATCACTGAATAAGAACGATGGCAGTCGAAACCTTAATATAGATTATAGATATTTATAGATTATTGTTTCGGGTGGGACGGCATAATTTGATCATGATAGAGCCCATGCAGTGCTCACACTCAACACCTCATTTTCGAGTTCGGCTGGCACGAATTCTCACCGCTCAGTGGTACTGATACTGGCAGGAGCGGCAGCAGCGCGTCTTCTTGCCAGGCTGAAGGGAGAAGTCCTGACGAAGCTTGACACCTACTACTCGTCACTTTGTAGCTGGAGTCTCCGTTCGTACCTCAGAAGAATGATAGAAACTACCTGGAGTCTCAAAATACCGATAGAAACAAATGGGGGCCCCAGTCGTCGGTCGTAGCATGCCTCTACCGGTTGTTGCTTCAGGTCATGGGGTCATACGCCGGTCTGGGCTCCCCATCGCTGGGGTCGCCAGCTCGGCGAACATCCAGGGGATCAGAGGATCTGAGGACAAGCACCCTAGGGCTCCAACCACATACCCTCAACTGACCGGTGGGTACAGATCCCCCCAAACTACCCACCCACCCCTGGCTCATCGAACCGATTGACGGAGGTAGGCCAGGAGAGAAGTTGAAACCATCCCTGGTAGTACCAGACCATGTCAGACGAGTCGGAGCTATGACAACGTCAGACGAGACTGTTCTTCCTGGTGCTCAAGCGGTGGGGGTTTTGGCCCAGAGGCATATTGGCTTGCGATTAGTAAGATCAGGTAAGATCATTCTTGTCCAGAGAAGACATTCTCTCTTGGGGTTCAAAGCTTTGAGGTTGAGGTCAATATGACGGTTATATTTGGTGTCTCTCTGATTCGCCGTCGCAAAAGCCGTCATGGTGTCAGCTTTGTGTATACCTCCATCTTACTTAACATGGAAGTCTCAGTGGAGCCAGTTCCGGAGGGTATTGGCGTGGGTCCAGAAAACTGCAACATGCTTCCGAAGTGAGCCTGATGCCTCCAAAAGACCCTTAGTTTCGCCATCAGTTCTACAGTAATGGTCTTTTGCTCCCTCCATAAGTCATAGTCCTGTTTTCGTGGATGATGTGACCCACCTCTACCACCTCTCCCACCGGCCTACCCAAGGGGATCCTCCGCAATCGACCGGAAGGATTTGGGTCTTCTCCCCACTCAACGAAGCGCGTTCGCCCGATCGCCCGACCGAACCGGGACTTCGATGCCAGTGGATGATCCGCCCCCGCCCAGCAAGCGACCTGCAGCTGGGGTGCTCAGGGTGGTGCTCAGGGTGCTCAGGGTGACGAGGTGGAGTTTTCGAACGAATGTGACTATCATATCGTTTTTAGATCAGCGTGCAATAAGTGAGTGACCATCGGACTATCGGACTGTCGTCTAAGTGAGCAACTAAGCTCACAATATCGTCACGAATGATAGACGATGAGCAATTGGTCGCTGGGCAAAAGTGACTATTGTTGGTCACTATCGTCGTTCATTGTCTCACTTTGGGTCAATCCACTTGACTCACGTGGACCCTTTAGGGTCCATCCCACTTTAATAGTTTTGCAATCTTTTGCCACTGATCTAAATGGCGGGCGACACCACTTTGCACAAAAATGATTAAACAATGGCTCACATGTCCTACAAGCAGATTTGTTAGTTCCACGTGAAATAAGCTCGTAAGATCGTTCCTGTTGTGTGGATTTCCAACTTTTTTTACATGTGGGATTGACAAACTAATTCAACAAACACGGTACATTCTCGAAAATGTGTCCCTCATTGGCGCTCATTGGCTTGCCGCTCATTAGCTTCGCATGTTTTAACCGATGTGAACTGATGGAGGATGCTTGCTTTTCTTCATCAGGAGCACAAGAACCAAACTTTTGCCATTGAACAATATAGAGGGAACCTATATAGGTACCAATAAGGCACCCATGAAACCTGGCTTAACAAGCAAAACCCGCAGAGTCTAGGTCTAGTTGGTGGATGTTGGTGGTCATTGCTGTCGCTTCTGGGGCTTGTGGAGGGGACGCGGTCTCAACGCCGGGGGGTTGGAGAAAACCGCCACGGCGGAGTCGGGGTGAGCTCGCTCCGGAGGCGATGGAGAGAGTCCTCGCTTTGAGGGGAGCGAAGGAGATGACTTATAGAGGACTATGACTGTCAACAAGCTTGTGACAGGGCAAGTTCCAGGGACTTATGGAGGCGATGGAGAGATTCCTGGGAGCGAAGGAGAGTATGTTTTGCATACATGTTTGGGGAGAGATCACCGTGCAGAAGCTGGTTCACTTGAGGTGAGGCAATGCTATGGCGCGACGCAGACCCCAAACTTTGGTGGCTGGTTGGTAGCATGCGCTGCGATGGCCTTCAATTGGATCGATTGGCGTCAATATGATACCGCGGCTATGCTTTTGTTTGCGTGGCGAGGTCAAGAGCCTGAAGAAGTTCTTCTGGGCATCCTTTTTGCATAGGGTCCAGGTATCTCCTTTTCAGATGGTTGAAGAAGTCGGTGAGTACGTACTTCCCCAACCCTAGGGATCCACTGCCACACCCTCCTATCTATAAAGTTTTGATTTGTTTGACACTTTATTTTAGGGGTTCTTAGAGGGTCCAGTCGTACCTGAGAAGATGCCTAGTGGATCCCTTTAGGGTGTTCGACAACTGCTGCCCCACCGCAAGGGCAGATCTGTGGATCTGCAATGCGGGTGTTCTCTGCCGGCTAAGCGGGTGCTCGGTGGAATCTGAAGCCACTAGCTGTGCAGACCTGGATCTTCCAACGGTGCATAGTTTTAGGCACAAAAGGCATACATGTTGCATAGTTGGATGATTCAGGTATACGGTATATATCGGTATATGGTATATAGAAGTTTCATGAATTTCCCCAAACGAACAGTGCTTTGGAAGTCTTGCTTGAACTTTGTCGAACATAAACAAAGCATACCACCCTCCACCTACAGTACTACTTAGTTCACTCTCGGTGCTATGGAGCTCGGCTTTTCCCTGATCCACAAGGCTACCAATCCAACTTCTCAAACCTTCAACATCCCTGCATATCTCTCTCCCGCCATATCTCCTCTACCTGCTTTGGATTCACCTCCTCTCTTCTCCCCATATCTCCTCCTCACACCACTGGGCTTCTCCCGGACACTGGGTCCCCCCTCTCCGCCATGGTCGCAGGCAGAGGACTCCCGGGTCTCAAGCTCGCGGGAGTCGCAGCGCCTGAACGCTTGGGCCCAGCGGTTCCTCAAGGTCGCCGGTGTCACACCGCAGTTGGATCATGGATCCCTACGGACCTCCCGGGTGGGCTCCTGTACGGTACGGTGGGGCTACCGGGATGGGTGGTTTGGAGGGTCGAAGAATACCGGTCACCTGAGGGTATGGGCCAGGAGCCCTAGGGTATATACACAAAGGCATGTGGGGCAGGTCAAAGCGTAGGCTGCAGCGGATCTGGGAGTGAAGCTACTCCAGAACACCATCTCAAATAGGGAATGCCTGGCAATTCATGGTGCTTTTTTGGGTGATTCAAGCTTGCGCTGCAGGATTGTTTCCTTCACAAGGGCACACAAATCAAGGAACCCAAAGAAGGTGCGGGTCAAAAGCAACCATACATAAAACCTGACATGTTGACCTTGCTGGTAGCTACCTGTACCTGGAGCAACATGCTTCACTCAAGTCGCTCGGACCAGGTTTTACTGAGGTCTGATTGGACTCATGGTCTTTACTTGGAGTTGGGCCATCCTGGCGCGCCCCACGGACCTCTATCCCTGTCAACCCACAGACCTCGAACCCCGCCTTGCTCTGCCGGCCCCCTCGACCCCCGCTGGGCCGCGATCAGCCGTCCCGTCATCGTCGGCAGGGCCTGGCGGAGAAGGCGTCGATGGATTCCTCCAAGACCTGCCAGGTGGGCGGCCGTGGCGGCATCGCTTCGCTGCCTCCAAACGGAAAAGGGCGAGAAGGAACGGAAGAAAACATAAGAAAGCAAGCTGGGCACCAGCACTTCCGGATCCGCTAGCGGAATCTGAACCTGAACCAATCCGAACACATTGACGTCATTGACCAGTTTTTTTCCCTCATGCGAATTCTGGATTCTAGATGTGCAATCCTGGTCTTTTCTGATGTCTACCAAGAGAGCTTGAACAGCCCTATCGCCCGTACCACAGACTCAGGGTCCGGTCTCTCAACCTCTCTTGGTCTCTCCTGAGCCGAACCTCGCTCTCGAGGAGCTCTCCGACATCCTCGAGGCCGAACGGGTCAACATGGCGGAGGAGACCGGAACCGACGCGCGGACCGTGGAACCACGGGGAGTTCCGGAGGTTTTGGGGGGATGGTTTTTGGAGGTTTATATCGGTGTGTCCCATTGTTGTTATAGGAATTAATGTAACTCAGTCCTCAGTTGGTAGAAAGATAATCACGATTTTGTGAGAAATTCTTGCAACCAGGCCCCATAGTAGTGGGATGTACCCATTTCAAGCTGTTGTTCAAGCAGTGTTCATCCGTTTTGTATCGTTTTGTCATCTTCCCCCCGAGTTGGAACTTAGAAATCACCGTATACACCGTTTGTCCTAAGCCATTGTTTTCACGCTTTGATGGACTCGCAGTCCAGCGAGCCGGCGGACAAATTTGTGGGAGCCCGCGATGTGGCGGTGCACCCGAAAGTCTGCGATTGCTGCGGCTACACTGCCCTGCAGATCTGGCACTTTTGCTATGTTGAAGGGAACAGGGTGGCCACCCTAGATGCTGGGTGACCAGGAAGTGTCCGAGAACATGGCCAAGAATTCTTGTGCTACCAGTGCGCTGGTGAGCATTAATGTCACGGGTCGAAAGACCAGTTCCAGAAGCTCTTTGCCAAGCGCATGAAGCGCTAGGCCACTGACTTCATGGTCAAACAGAGCGTGGCCAAGATCGCACGGGTTGCAGGTGATCAAGATGCTGCTGAACAGACCAAGATCACCCTCGAGGCGCTCAGGGACCAGAGGGTTCTTCGTGGGACGGACAGGGGTTCCCAGCTCTCTTCCCAGACCTGCGACGTCTGTGGTTGTGGAATTGTGCCGCTGAAGGCTTCTTCATGGCTTCTGCTGCGAAACCCCGGCAGCTCCGAGTTCTGGGCTTGTGCCGAGTGCGGCGAGAGGTACGAGAGTGGCAGCTCACCTCGGTACCTCCTTGTCAAGCTTCCGCAAGATGAGGTGATGGTCTTCAAGAGCACCTGGATCCTTCCTCAGCTGGAGAACAGTCACAGGAACTACCTGGACAATTTTTTACTATTGGAGGCAGCCATGGGCAGAACTATGTCCTGCACATGTTTTTGGCAAACCTAACATTCTTTGGCGATACACAGTTTCAAGGAGCAACCTGAAACATCACTGCTGGAGAAAAATTGGGATACAATTGGCCAGAAATAGGCTCAAGAAACTTATATGTTTTGAACTTGTATGTTTAAGACAAGAGTAAATGCTGCAAAGTCCACTACTCAAATTGAGAGGACAAGATCGCAGCAGTTCTTTCAACATGTTGTGATCTCACCTGTTTTTTTGCTTACAAGTCAGGTACCCATTTTGTGTAGGTGAGATTGCTGCAAGAAATTGTTGAAGACATGAGATCGCAGCAGTGCTGACAAAATGCTGCAAAGTCCACCACTCATTTTGTGCAAGTTGCAGGTGCCGAAAAGGTAGTCCAAAAAATGTTCCTTCTTGAAAAAAACATAAATACATGTTTGAATAGAAATTCGAAAATTGTAGTGTCCCGTTTCTTGAAGTGAGGTTGCAGGTTGCTCCTGGGACTGTCCTTTGACAAAAGTTCAAAAGCATGTTGCAGCAAAAGTTCTGCCCATGGCTGCCTTCAATATTTGTGAAATTTTTTCCAGTAAAAATTTGTCCAGGTAGTTCCTGTGACTGCCTGCCTTCCCTTAATAAATCTCACGTAGGCAATTGTGAGGTTCAAACTGTTTGGTCGCACTGTTCTGAAAACAAATTCAAGCTTTTTAAGTTTTGTTGACAGGGACTGCGACCCAATGACTCAGTACTCTGTACTAGGTTTTGAATATAGAGTCATGGAAGTTTCCAGTTTCTTGAGCCTATTGCTGGCCAATTGTAACATTTTTTATCCAGCAGTGTTGCTGCTTGCGACTTTGTATCGCCAAAAAAAGTCAAGTTTGCAAAAAAAACATGTGCACGACACAGTTCTGCCCACGACTGCCTCCAATATGTTTGAAGTTACTTCCAATAGAGAGTTGTCCACGTAGTTCCTGTGACTGCCTGTCTCCCTTGAACAATTCCCATGTGTAGGCCGCACAATTTTTCATATAATCTAGAAGCTTAAGAATTGGCCCGCCGCAGCCGCAGGCACCCAAAAAATGAAACTCAAGTTCCAGAAAATCTATCTAAGTTCCGGATTTTTCGTAGAAACCCCTGAGATCCCCTGAGACCCTGACACACAAAGCTCCAGACCTCAGGTTGTTTTGTTGTTGGTGTTTCTGGCGTTGCTTTCACATTTTTCACTGTTTATAACTTTTTTTACAATTTTTGAGATTGATTGATTTTTTTTGATACTTTTTGAGATGTTTTGAGATTTTCACTCCTGCTAAATTAATATTCCCCTTTAACTTTAAAGGTTCTGAGATTTGTTTGATTTTTTTTGAGACTTATCGAGATGTTTTGATTTTTTTAGAATTTGTTCAGCTCGAAAAAATAAATATACTACTATTGTATTGTTATATTGATATATATATAATGTCCTTTAAGAGCTTGACCTTCTTTCCTTTTCTTAATTGACCTTTGTAATGTAGACCTCTGATTAATGAAGGCCACCAGAATGATGTCTCTTTTTGGGGAAGGGATAGTGTTTGTGGAATATTTATATTGTTGTATATTGTTTTTGTTCATCTCTGGCTTAAAGATTTTGAAGATCCTTGGATGCAAATTTCCATTGAGATTTGGAGATGTCCATTGGTTCTTATTGGATTTTAGAGGTCGTTGGATGCAGGTTTCCACTGAGATCTGGAGATTTCCATTGAGTTTTTTTTTTTTTTTTTAATTTGGAGGTCTTTGGATGCAGATTTCCAAAATATGTTTAATCTCTAAGGCTTCCAAAATTCACAAAAAAGTATGTGCACTTGCTTTACAAAATCCCTTATTCACACGTATTGACAAACAACAAACATCATTCCAGCAAAGGTGGTAGTCCAGCAAGCAAGTTTCTGGAGTTTCTTGGAGTGCAGGTTTCCTGAAATTGATAGGTTTGCTGTGGTTTGCTGTGCTTAGTTATCATCAATGTTTTTACTCTTCACAATACCTTTAATCTCTAAGGCTTCCAAAATTTACCAGCAATGCGCGCACTTTCTTTACAAGCTCCCTTATTAAAAAATCATTAACGACCCACCCCAACCCCCGCATTGCCAGAGATAGCTAAGCAATGACCCCCTATCCCCATCAATTGATTGGTTTTCTAAGATACCACCCGGGGGGGCTGACCAACCAAGAGTCCCCCCACAAACAACGCCACCATTCATGTTTATCATCTTTGTCTCTCTTTTTATCTCCTTTTTTTTTCTCTCTCTCTATTTTTTTTTTCTCTCTCTCTCTCTCTCTCTGTCTCACTCTCTCTCACTCACTAACTCTCAGTCAAAGCCTCCAATGACCAAATTTCACAGTAAGTTAAACAGTTATCAAGTTTTACAAACCAGAGAAGGATCACATATGTTCAAAAACCTTTTGTTGAATAACAAAAAAAATGCTTTCAACAAAGCAAATTAATACACTGCACCCACGTGGTAGTACGTGTGCAACCTTCTGGCTCACAACTGTTTCAGAAACATTTTGTTTAAAACATATAGCTCTGAGACAATTGGGTTTGTGTAATTTTGTAAATGACAACTATGTACCCCCACATCTGTATACCAAAACGGTTTCGCTGAAAGACTGCTGCTGGCGAGCTCACAGTCCCAGCCAGCCCACAGAGGTGAAGACTGAATTCACGGGTTCAAGATTGAAAACAAAAGCGGCTTCATCAGCAATGCAAAGCTCAACTCTGCGGGTCACGATCCTGCCCTCATGAGATGCATGGACAGCCTCAATCGAATGATTTGCAGCAATGCAGTTTCACTTGCATGCATAATGCATGACTTACCTGCCTTGCCATGTAACCAAGAAAGATACCAAACAACAACAATAACAAAGCATATATAATATATATATATACAGCAAGAGACAGACTGGAAGAAACACAATCATCCAATCATTTTGTTTGGTTTCGCCGATTTCGATTCCGATGAAGCAGTTTTCAGCCGATCAATGAGCTCCGATTCCGATTACCATGAAGCCTAAGGTTTCAACAGGTCATGAATTAATGTTCAATGACGAGTCCAACACGATTCAGTGGGGACCCGGCAATCTGTGGGCTTCAACTGAGCCTCCCTATGCTCAACTGTGGAAGTTTTTAGGATTTCCTTTATCTTGGGCCCCTGACGCACTAGACCCGCGGTTTCGCCGTCCGTTCTGGTGCACTAAGGGTGTGTCTACGGTTTCGAACGGTGTTCGAGGTACCAACGAATGCTTTTTGTCGGGCCCATATTCTGAGAAACATCCGAAACAAGCCCACAATTGCCCTCGGAATCTCACCAAAGGATCTCGGAAGAGTCCACCCCCCCACTCCGTCCGCTCCCCATCCGTCGCCGGGAAACGCCAGGAGACCTACGTGGCGCTCGTGGAGCTTTGCGCCGGGAGCTCCCAGCGGGTGGCACGAGCTCGGTCCTCCGCGTCCGACCCCGGACGAGCTCGCGCGCGCCTGTGACGAAGAGTTTTCTTGGATCGCCTGAGATGAAAAGAGCTGTGAACTGAGATGCAACAAGATGTTGAGCTCATAACAAATCATATGTTTGATATTGAACGTTTAGCTTGAACCGATTGATGTTTGTTGGATTGAGAAGTGCCAGGTCTTTGGTTCTCATTTGCGGCACGAGAAACGACATGAAACCACCCTCACAGAAGAAAAAACGGTTTTGTTGGACCAATCGAGGGAAAACTGAAGAACACACTCCCGCATCCTGCATCCAACCTTCCAAATCCACCGCGCCAGTACCATCCAATACATGGGGTCTGTCCGAACTTACCTGTAACAGTCAGTAAACAGTTATCACTATTTTTGGACAAGGCCTTTACTAACCATCATCATCCACTGTTACAGGTGACAAGGATAGACCCAACCAATACAGCAAGAACGTTTGACATCGCGTTTTACCCTTGATCCTTATCTAGCGGTGGGACTGGGTGAATGTGCTGGGAACCCAATCGGGGTGTTCACCTGGTCTTGTGGATTCGTATAGGTCAGGAAGGGACCTCATTTTTATTGGAGTTGATCCTACAAGAACACTACTGGACCTCATTTTACTTGGTCAGGCTAGACCTGTAGGGATATGTGATATGTTCCTGTACCAAACACATCCAAAATCACTATTACCAGATGTTACTTGCTCAGAGGACCCTCTTCTTCGGCTCGCGTTCCCACCGCGGTCACTCCAAGCGGAACCTGAGTTCTATACCGACCGAACACCCACAGCGAGACGGTCGCGCGGGTCAGGTCGAGGCGCAAAACCTCCCGGACGCCAGTCGCCTGTACAGCGAGATGGTCGGAGACCTCGGAAGATCGGACCCACCAGCAGAGGTTGAAGAACCCCCTACCAGCACCCTCCAACAGGTGCTTCCTGGTGACAACAGGTGCCCAGAAACCACCTGTTAGGGTCTCCAAACAGCCTGTTGGAGGGTCCTGGTATAGGCTATGCGGCTATCCCATAGGTACCCCAGTAGGGTCCTATAAGCTCGAGCTTGTAGGAGTAGCGAAGCACAAACCTCGCAACTCCGCCCCAGTAGGGTCCTAGGTCCTAGTGGTCCTAGTGGCTACCTCTGTTGGCATCTGGAGCCGCCGGACCGACCACCCCCGAGGAATGTTTGATTTGATGAGTTGGGTGTTGTGGCTTTTGGGGCGATGTGATGGGCTTTGTTCCCGAACTGGGTGAATAAACTTCTGCATGGGATATGTATTTGTGTGGTTCGTTAAGCAAATACAAGATGTCCAAAGCTCGAAAAACTGCTTGAGGCGCCATTTGCTCTATAGTTGAAGGAGTTGTTGATTGGCTCCCAAATTCGACGTAGAGGTGCTGGTGACATTTTAGAATTGGTCATTCCAAATGGGAACATCCTGTTTTCTTCATTGTACCCTAACAATCCATGTCAAGAAAAAAACATCATGTTCAGCATTCAGAAGAACACTCTTCATGGGATTGGAAGGTTCATGGACCGGACCCTTAAAACGTCTCCAAACCGATTCATGGACTCATGTAGCCCAATCTTCCGGTCCCCATTGCAGGGCTCAAGCCGCCTGCCATCCACGTACTTCCCCATCGGCGGTGCTTCTCACAAACCGGATTCCGCGGAGTTTGCGGGTGGGGCGCTTTTTCTTCAGGAAGCCAAGGGCTTCAAGGCACAGAATGACCTCACGGACCAGGCCAGATATGGTGGGCCGACACATGCAGGGTAAACCAGCCGGAGAGATGGGTCGTTAGGGAAAGGGGATGAAAACGGGGGCAAGTGACATGGAGGTGACGACGCGGGAGAAGACGAGTCACCAAACCACGGACGGTTTCGTCCGGAAAGCGTGAGTCCTCATCCGTGACATTTGTATGAAAGAAACTGTTCTGGCACTGAGCTATTCGACATCTGGAACTCTTCATGGGTAAAATGTTTTGCAGATGGTGCTTGGGCGAATTTTGGAATGTGTGAGCAGATTCCAAATAGCTGCAGGCTGCAGCTTGGCTGGCCCTATCCTCGGTTACAAACCCATGGATGGGCAACTGTGGCTTCATTGACATCATAAATACTGCATGCACTGATGAGCATCCAATTTGGAAGTTAATTATAGTAGTGATTTGGTCAAGAGAAGCATGATCTTCCTGACGACCCCCCTTTTCTGAGCCACATTTCAAGATATGGCCTGCAGGGGCCAGTAGAGCGTACCCTTGGAAGATCCTTGTAAGGTACACTCGTTGCTATTGACGGGCTCAGTAGAAGATATGGCCTGCGGATACAGGATTAACTTCATTCCCAACCGCCTGGCGGGCTCAAATCACTTCGGTCTCAGCCTTCCTGTCTCAGCAAGTCTTTCCCCAAGCGTGCTGCGGAACGAAGAAAGTCCATTTGAAAAGGACAAAGAACAGCAACCAGGCTTCTTTCCCTAGCAATGAGATTGGAAGATGTACTGATTGGCTTCCAGATTCAAGTTAGAAGGGCCACAACTGGCTGAACAGTCCACAACCTGCCCAGTTTGAGCCATCCGCAAAAAGATAAACTCACCAGCAGTTCCAAAAGAGGTGCTTATTGGGAAGTCGGGGTGCCCGCAGTGCCCGTATCACATCCGCTCACTTCGGGAATAAAAGCCATCCTACTCCATGTGACTCCTGGCATACATGGATTCTTGGGCTTTGGCAGGTCATTGGCCTCTACTCCAAAACTCAGGCGCAAAACACCCGCACTCGTCGTCTCTCCGCACGCTCCGCTCCGCTCTCTCCATTCTCCACACCCGTGGCCGACCAGTTTTCTCAAGGGGTGCGGTCCGCGGATGTCACGTTTACTCTCTATTTGGATGGCAGGGGTTGAGATGAATCACCCAGACACGACCCATGGGACAGGACCTTCCAAGTTCGGTGGTTTTGGGACACCTCCTAAACCTCTAAGAGGCTATTTACAGACACCTCTTGGAAGGTCCTGGTATGGAAGATATACCTACATTAACCCCCCCTGGCACCACCGCAACTGATCGGCAGTCCTATGCCAGTCCCATGGAGTGTCTGGGTGATGACACTCTGTAACTGTTAAGACTGTTTTTTTTTGTGGGGAAACTTCCCGGAACTGGTCTAGTTGAGGACCAAGTACATGAAAGAACCTTAAGCGTACAGATGTTGACTTGAACAGGTTCAATGGGATGATATGGGATGTTCAGTGCTCACAGGGTTCCGGCATGTTATTTGTGTTACTTCACGACCCAACTCAGGGGTGTGATGTCTTAACGGATTGCTTCACACAGGGACTGAATTCAGTGGCCCAAGTCAATGAAAGTCATATAGATTTCAATAGTAGTGGGACATAAGTACTGACGGTTCAGTCCTATTGTCCTATTGTGGATTCCAGAAGGGCGAATGCGGTTTCAACACCCGACATTGTTGCTTGCTTTGTTTTTTGCTTATCTAGATGACTTCTTTTCCCAGTTTGGATCCAATATGATCCAAATCTTGAAAATGTTGAAATACGTACTTGATGGTTTCTTGTTCCATTCAGCAAATCCAAGTTTTGTGAGGCTCTCCTTGCCTCAATAGCAAGAGCCCTCATAACATAGTCTCCTCTTCCGCCGCTCCGGCCAAGTCTGCATCCAGGATCCAGGCCTAGATCTTCCAACTATATAACTATAAAAAACAACCGAAGTTCGACAGACATTCTTGCGCCGTTGGAAGATCTAAAAATAGGAATCTTCCAGGGTAGAGATCGGAGATCTGATGTTTGTAGATGGAGATCTATGCTTTTTTGGGATTGCTAGAGCCGTAGCCAGCTGAATTGGAGCATCAAGATGTATAGAAAAGGCACACAACTCAAACGGCAAAGCCAGGTGTTGAGGAACTCCCAGTGTATTCCATGATATTCCATACCAAACCCTACGATACCCTACTTCCTGCCCATGTGTGGCTTCTGCAGAAAACTCTACAGCCACCACACCTTGCGAAATCAGGCGAAATGAGGCCAGATAGCTCTGATCGGCCAACGGATGGAAAAGCGGCCGGCTCTTTCAAAGGCCTCAGAAAGGCTGCAGAGGCGCAGAGGCGTTTTATTGTTTAAGGGGCAAGTGAATGAAACACTTTTGTTCTGGCCATGGAGCTGTTTTCTGCCATGTTCTGCCATTCAGTGAAGCAACACTTCTGTTTGTTGAGCACTTGTCCAGCCATTCCGTAAAATCGAGCCTTCGTGCTCCTTCGTCCAACCCTTCCATGGTGAGGGTGTCGTGGTTGTTCAGGTGTCATCATGTTTCTTTCGCTTGCTCCGTGTGATCCCTTAGTGTTCCTCGAGCTGGATCTCCAAGCCGAGCCAATCATTTGTACATATTAGCTAAGCCATATATTACTCCATGTATGGTAGTGGTAGCTTTTGCCGATCATGGTAATGGTAATGGTAATTCACTCCAGGTATGGTTTGCTATCTTTAAGTCCTATAGACTTATATGCAATCATAGCCATACGCTTGGTATGCCGATCCCTCCAACTACACCAACTGATCGGTCTAGTGCTTCTGGTGCTAGGCAGGTCGTGTTTGGGATAGTCACCTGAGTTGCTTCTGAGATATTCGGTAGATATCAGGAAGATTCCTAAGGTTGCCATCAAACACACCGAACAAATCCAAACAAAACAGGAGGGTCACATGCCTCCCTGAGTTGCTTCTGAAAGAAATCAGCGGTTCGTGGACTTGTGAAATCCAGGCAATCCTGGTGCTTCTGTGGGACGACTCAGAGTCTTCCCACAAGCACCGACTCCAACGTTTCCCGTTTGACGTCGAGCCGCTGCGGAGCGCTTCTGCGCTTGGATCAGCAGAGAGAAGCAGAGCAGACCCCACTGGCCTTGCCAATATGGAAGCAAGCAAGAAGCGGAATCTGAGTTGAACTTGTGTGAACGAAGTACTCCCAAACTATACACATATATTATATATATATATTGCTGCATTCTAGAAGCGTATCAGCATATCTAAGTAAGCCAGATTTGGGTAGTTTTCATGGTGAATCCGGGTGATACAGGACCTGTGGGCTCGCGCACCTGGGACTGGGACGTGTTTTTCAAGAACATGAAAGAACATATATAAGTCCAACTTCAGCGCCACCGACGCACCTCCGGAAGTGTGGATGACCATCAATATCCATCAATCCTCTTGTGAGTAAACCCCGCCAACATCCGCCAACACATGAAACTGCGAAGAATATATGGATGTTTACTACTAGGGGATGTATGAGAGATCCACAGGAGTCCATTGGAGACCCATTTTTCAAGTACCCGGAGCTAAGCATCCTTCCTGTTCGCTTTTCAACAGCCGTGGCCGTCACCTCGCGCCCAAACAGCATGGAGCGAGCGTCCTCTTGCGTCCGACGCGGTCCGTGGAGGTCCTGCATAGCTCGGCATGTGGTGGTTCGGCGCCCGGGGACAAAGAAAAAGCGGATGTTTTGTTCATCTGACATCCGGCAAAGCCTGGGACCCTTCTGGTCGCATGGATCATGGCTTTTTTAGAGGAGGTCCGTTTGTTCCTTTGTGGATGTTTGGTGTGAAGTTCAGTCCATCCAGCCATTCCATTTGAAGTTGGTGCGATATCTAGCTCTCTCCGCCGCATGAATTCCGAATTCCCAGCGCAGTCCGGTCTCCCAAACATTGCCGCACAGCGAAGCGAGACATCTCCGTGCCGCAGAGATCCAGTTGCGGTGTGAAAAGAGACTTTGGAGCACAAGCGGTCGGTTTAACGATAGACAGAGCGGCGGGAAGTCCCAGAAAGGGGATGTCTCGTGCCATCGGGAAGCCGGGAAGCAACCATTCGGCTGCTCGGGTCGTGTGTGTTTTATTTTTTTTTCGGAGACCGAGTGCCCTGTGCCTGTTGTACTTGTCGATGGGGTTGCAACCAAGAAACCAAGAAGCTCAATCATGGACACATGCAACCTGTAGGTTTGTTCTGTTTTGTTGTTTTGTGTAGACTTGTCGTTTTCCATGCATTTATGGGGGTGACCATTAATTCATCAGCAAGTTCAGGTGCAGGACCAGCCCATGCTGAGACTACGAATTGTGCATACGTTGAGTGATTCACCCTGCTGTGCTTGACCAAGATCCCAGGTCATGAAGTTTGGTTTCTGGATCTTCCCGAAGAAATTTCAGCCACATTCAAAGGAGTGTCTCTCCAGCTGTAACTCCCCGCAGCAAAGAAAGGATCACCCAATACGTCTTGATTGTCTTGGTTGTATGTTCAAGTCTACTACCAAAATGCTGGCCAAAAGCCAACAAAAAGAGTTGCTGAAGCCAACCAGACTGGCCAGGAGGCGAAACTGACCGCAACCACTGTAGCCTCCTGGAACGACGAACGACCACCGCGCTGAACCTGTGCTGCAGCTGTTCTGCCGAGGTCCTGAGCGAACTGCAGCAGCAACTGCATGCTCTCTCTCAAGGCGTCGATTCCGCGCAGATTCTGCGCTGCCGTTCGGTGTTGGACTGGATGATGTTGGAGGTGTTGCCCTCGGGATCCAGTCGTAGCTTCTCAGGTACGGTGATTGGAGACTGCTTATGCAGGCTTGGAGGGCCCAAGTACCTCCTGAGAAGGTATGTGGATCCCTAGGGTTGGACTGTTGGATACCAAAACCCTACAGGTCTTACGGACCTCATGAGATACTGGGTCGGGGAAAATGCAAAACCAGTACTCATTGAGGTCAAAGACCACATTAAACTCGGCCCGACTGGACTTGTAGGGAAACGTGCCCAACCTTCAACCCTAAGAATCCTTTTTTCACCCAACACCTTCGCAGGGGAACGGAATTCAACCCTTGCTATTGGAGAAGGGCAACTTCTTAGGGAAGCCCCTAAAGACCTGAGTTGTTTGAAGGAAAAAGAGTTTGTTTGGGGAAGCCTGTGTACCCAGGCACTCCGTTTGGTATATATTCATATACCGTATACTTTGGGGTGGTTTCAGGGGTCAATGTAGGTAAATATGGCCAGTCCCATGGAGTTTGGGCCAGTCACATGGAGTTTGGCCAGTCCCATGGAGTTTGAAGAGGAGTTCTTTTCCGAGCAAAAAGGCAACAGTCAGCAAACGCTTGTCACTCTGTTTGAGAAAGGCCTGCAGCCTGAGCATCATCGCTGTTACTGGTAATTGGATAATACATAAACAAGTTGTATATATACAACTTGTATAATCTTGTATATTGGTTCGCCATATCAACTGGGTTTTGTGGGGAGTGTAATCGTACCACCAGCCACGAGCATGGGAAGCGACCAGAGAGAGAAGAAGATGGAGAAGCGAAGAGCAAGAAACTATAGTAGCTTCTTGTTCCTAGTAGTAAGGCCAGGAGCCCCTACTAGTAGCACATCTATATACCATAGTACAGCCCAGACGCTCCGTTCACAGCCCTGCTCCCGAACCAAACCGATCGGGATTGACCCGAGGATTCGGGTCCAGCAGGGTACCTGCATTGATACATGGGGTAAATGTATGTACTGTAACTATTCCATCCATGGATGGTCTGGGTATATATAATATGGGAACAAGCGTCGTTGTTTGTTTTGGACTTTTGCATTTTTGAAGCATCAAACGTGGCGAGAAGCGCAGGTCAAATGATGGACTGGGAGCAGAAGCCCGGGCAGAAGGTGTGCTCGACCGTGCATGGAATGGGTTGCAGAGACCTCTTACTGGAAGAATTACTGTATACCATGCTTGATGGGAGAATTATCAACCAGTTTAGTTATGTTATATAGTGTTTTGCCTTGGCAAAGTGGTGCAGATCTTTTAGCATGTGCTTCTTGACTCTTTCCTATCCTTCGGGGTGATCGAATTCCTTTTTTTGTGTTCTCACCCGTCGGGGAACTCCGAACGGTCCTTTGACTATAGGTTTGGTTGGTGATGCGTGGAGGGAGGCTTTTGTTTCGATTCTTCGTCACAAGAAACAGTTCTTCCGCATATGTGGTTCAGAGCCATTTCACCAACAAAAGCCATTCTTCCGCATGATTCCGCATATGTGGTATTGATACATGCTGTTATATATCTTTTTGTTTGTTGTTCAGAGCCATTTGCCATATGGCCCGAAGCCGTCAGTGATCTTATGATCCAGTTAGTGGCAGCATTTCCCTGCACGTTTCCTCTACAGAATGGAACGTGTTGACCACTGAAATAAGGAGTGTTTCTAGGAAGCTTGTTTTTGTGTTTGGTATTTTGTAACCCGTGGTAATTTGAGTGTACCGACAGCATGCGGATTTGCAAGCGTGTGATTTTGTAGATGTATATGTCATACTGTCATACCTGGACATTCTTTTTTTCAGGTGGTTTTAGGCACGCCGGAATCCATTTTGTGGACAACTTTGCATTTTGTAGAGAAACATGTGGACGGGGGTCACACTCTGCAAAATGGAAGTTCTTTGTTGACAGATTGAAGACTAGCTGGCTGGCAAAAAGTTGCATCTCTACAGAATTCAGACATCCACAATATTAAGCCTTTTTAATGTCAATTCCACAAAGTGTTTGCAAATGTTCTTCCCCTTTCATCTCAATTCCAGAAGAATCCCCTCCACAATACTAATCCCGCTTCATCTCCATTCCAGGAAAATCCACCCCTCCACAATACTGGCCAATCAGAAACAGTGGGGTTAAGATTATTCAGGGGCAAAGTCGGGGGGGTCCTGTGTTTATTGATCAGAGGTGGACATTATAGGATCTAGCAGGTCCGCTCATATTGAAACCACACCATAGTAATTACACCACCTACCAAAAACGTCCAACAGTACATCAGCAAGCAATTGCCTGCCACCACAGATGAAGAGCAATCTGGAGCCATTCGACTTTTGGCTGAAGAATAGAAAAGTGCAAGGCACCCCTGAACCACTAGAAAAAGTGAATATATAACCTGCCCAACCTTTCTGGGGATTGGCTTCCTCACTAAAATCCAACGGTGGAATCAGTTCACGTCTCTTTCGTTACCACACGGTGTTGTCTCTTTATCGCTACCACTTGCCA